AAAAAAAGACAAATGATATGTGCGTATATTCAGACAATGTAAAATTATTTGATGTGAAGTAAGTGGTGATCTTATGTTACCGCTCATGCGCAGTTGGTTCGATATTAAGAAAAAAGAGAAAAAAAAGACAAATGTTATGTGCGTAGATTTAGATCTATCTATATATTTATTAGCCACAGTAACGCGTGGCCGGGGCACCCCTAGTATATATATGTATATATATATAAATTGAATAATATAAATAATTATCCTAATCAATTTAAATATTTATTAGATCATTGAAATGAACACTCAACTAAGAAAGAAAAGATTACAATAATTTGTAAAATATAATTTTTATTAATTTCATAGATTGTTTTGATCATTGTGCAAACAAACATGTTAAAAATTAACAATATTGCATATATAACGATTGTGTAAGATTTAAATATTTATTAGTAATTTTATAAATTGTTAATGATGATAAGAGAATAATAATTAATCATGTTGAAATGAATAGAGAGCGTAAAAACGACAGAACATTAGTGTGATAATCTTGTCTGATGTGAGAGTATTATTCTCGAACAAAACTATCCTAGGAACTTATCGACATGCCTATCGCCAAAAGACGAGAAGGGTTGGAAGAGGGGGTTGAGGGAGTGGAGGAAAATGTTCGAGTTTCTTAAAAGATATCAAAGTTAAATTCGTTCTTAGGAGAAATCCGACGCCATGGCTTTTATCGAAAAGACGGGGCCAGACAAAAGTGAACGATTAAGATAGGAAGGTAGTACTTCCCTTTTCCATTGTTATGGGGCGTACATAAAGCGTTTTACGCGTCGTTTCGTGCAGACCTATTCGAAGTGAGACCCAAGCAGTCTCGTTCTTCCAAACGTTTCTCCTAACTACAATGCTTTATTTACAGGAATAAAAAAAAAAAAAAAGAATAAAAAAAAGTATAAAGAAGAACACAATGAAATAAGAACATAAACTGAAATAATTAGAGAGAAATATTTCAAAAGTAATGTAACATAATAAATTTTAATGATATTATATACCTTTATAACGTCGTTTAACATTTTTAATTATGTGCATTACAAGTTTTATTTTTTTGTTTGCTTATATGCATCGATTCATCGAATACACATTTCGATTTTTAAGAAAATCGAAATTTGAAAAATTTTGTACAAATAAAAGTATCATATCGATCAATTACTATTTTAAAACATTTATCAATGTGATTTAAATTTAAATATAAAAAATAATTATATTTTTCTCACCAATTCTTTTTTACACCTTAATAAAATATATATATA